GAGAACGCAGGAATTCAGACTCAATTTAAAAGACAATTTAAAGGTAAACGGGTTCTACAGCAGTGTGTTTGTGTGCAGGCGCTGCTGCTGAACGCCAGAGGGCGTTTTCACTGCGGAGGCGTCCTGATCGATGAGAACTGGGTCCTGACCGCCGCTCACTGCCTCGACAACAGCTTCCGATTCAGAGTACGACTGGGTGAGCAACATCATGACATCATCATCGAATCTCTTATTACATGTAGAGCAGCAAATCTTTACAAACAAAACAAAGGGAGTCAATGGGCCTCGAGCAACATTTATTCTAAATTCATGCTACATTTATGCTACATTTATTTCTAAATTCATGCTACATTTATGCTACATTTATTTCTAAATTCATGCTACATTTATGCTACATTTATTCTAAATTCATGCTACATTTATTTCTAAATTCATGCTACATTTATGCTACATTTATTCTAAATTCATGCTACATTTATGCTACATTTATTCTAAATTCATGCTACATTTATGCTACATTTATTTCTAAATCCATGCTACATTATTCTACATTTACTTTAAATTAATGCTACATTCGAACCATGATTCAAGAAGAGTTTTGGTCCAAAATTTAATTTCAATCGAGGAAATTTAATTTGCACATCCCCCCATCAAACACTCTGCAGTTTAGTTTTAATAAATATTCACGAATGAAGTTTCATAACACTCGACGACCAGCCACCGTGCTCGTGTCTCCTCAGGTGACTACGAGCGCCACAGAGACGAGGGCACCGAGGTGACGCTGAGGATCGAGAAGACCTTCAAACACCTGCACTACGACAGCCGGACGGTGGACAACGACATCGCGCTGCTTCGCCTGCAGACGCCCGCCCCCTTCTCTGAGTTTGTGACCCCCGTCTGCCTGCCGGGCCGAGAGATGGCCGAGCGGGTTCTCCACCTGAACGGCACCGTCACCGTGGTGACCGGCTGGGGCAAAGACAACCTGGAAAACGGCTCGTTCAGCTCGGCGCTCAACGTCATCGAGGTGCCGCTGGTGGACCGCGGCGTCTGCGCCCGCCAGATGTCCCACAACATCTCCGACAATGTCCTCTGCGCCGGGGTCCTCGGGCAGAGGATGGATGCCTGCGAGGGGGACAGCGGTGGGCCGATGGTCACCTTGTACCGGGACACCTGGTTCCTGGTGGGCCTGGTGTCCTGGGGCGAGGGCTGCGGCAGGGAGGACAAGCTGGGCGTCTACACCAAGGTGTCCAACTACAACCAGTGGATCAACAACGTGCGTGAGGACTGGGACAAAGGACACAATCCAGAACCGCCGAGTGTCTGAACCACAACCGTGGATCCAGTCTAGTCTGTTGAATAAACCACATCAAGGCCTCAGTTAGAGCAGCGATGTGACGCACTTTATAAATAAACTCATTCTGTCTCAAGACGCTTCGGTTTTCTTTTTTTCACCACAAAGACATGTCTTCACTTTTCTCGCCGCGTTAGCGATGTGGCTAAAAAATAACGACTTTTGATTTACGTTCCCCAGAGGATGAACCCTGACGACAACACACCATCCTCTCACTAATGTAGAAGGCTGTCTCGATTACTGAGGTAATAAATCAAGAGAGAAGTAGAGTCATCTTCTCATAGAC